AAAGGCCACAGGGGACTACTTAGCCTTTTCCGCTTGATTTCAAATACAGACATAAGTGGCTGTCTGCCGGCCGAGGATACTGAGTTCACCCCATTGGAGACAGCTGCTGGTGGCTTCCCTGATGACGTTCCTTGCACGGGGACTTAGCACAGGTGTCTCCAGCGAAAGGAGAAAGGAGCAGACCCCTGAGTGTGGACGGAGGCTTTGGTGGGCAGCTCGGGTCCAAACTGAAAGCTCAGGGCAATGGCCGCAGGCTGTGTGCAACGCCCTGGCCTCGTCCCACACAACCCTCATGAGCCTCCGAGGTGCGTGCTACTCCACCCTCATCTTTATAGACAGGAAAACCCAGCTCAGAGATGAACACACTTGCCCAAGGTCAAGCTGGGAAGAGGCGAGGCCCGGCATCCAGGCTGAGGCAGACCCAGTCCACTATGTGTGATTCCCTTAAATCCTGAACCGTTCCAAGGGTTACGTCCTGCGGTGCGGGGACGCTGCAGACCAGGCCCCACTCCTTCCCTCTCTCTCTGGCTAACATAGCCAATGTCGCCATTCAGATCCTCCTCAAGATCTCACTTCCCTGCCTCACACTGGGACGACCTGCCCTATATCCTTTCACCAAAGTCTCTCCCTCGATCAGCAGTTCTGGTTCCCCCAAACCACTCCGATGAACCCCATGTCCTCGTACATACAGCTTTTCCAGGTCATGAGTGTGAGGTGCTGCCAAACGTGGCACCCCCCTGCTGAGTCACCCCAGCTTCTGCCCCTTCCTTTGACCTCTACTTCATTTTCATTCTCAGCTCCAAGAGTCAGTTGGCCTTTATTCCAGGGTCATTTTTTCCTTATACAAAATTCTCTAAACACCGAAAAGTTGGATTTATTTACAGCAGACTCCAGATTACCCACCATCTGACACTGTCACAGACACGGTCCTCTTGTATCGGCTTCACTGCCTGTCGGTCCATCTGTCCATCCCTTTGTCAATCTCTTCATCCATTCTTTTATTTTCTTTTCTCGATCCATTCTTATGTTGACACATTTCAGAGCAAATTGTAGGCATTAGCATACTTCTCTAGGGTTATTCTTTTCACTTCAAGACACTTTTTTCTTTAAATCACTTCCTGAGCTTATCTGCAGCCACCGAGAATGACAGAGCTGTGTTGAGACGAAGCGGCCAGCTGTGTGGCTGGAGAGGGATTCTCTACCTTGCAGTGCATGTGGCCCCAGCTAGGTAGTTTCATCGTTATTTATCAAGCATGTACTCTCTGCCAAGCATCATGTGAGGGGGCTCAGCCATGAGCAAGGCAGCCTACTCCTGCCCTAGGGAGCTGACGTCCAGGTTTCCCAACAGCTGTTAGTGGTTAATCACACGGAGACCTCAAAGGTCGTAAGTACTCAAAACAGTTTTAAATCCACAAATGTCAAAATGTGTTTTGATGTCCTGTTTCTTTCAGAGACAGGTCCACCTTTCAAGATCCCTGTGATAGGTATGCGATGAAAGGAACTAGGTTCACCCAGACAGACCACAGGAAGTTTCCCCAAATGACCACCAGGCACAGGAAAGTCTGTGTAAACTAGTGTGGGCACCCCACCCACTCGGCTTTGCTCATGCAGCTGATGCTCTGACCCATGCCAGGGCTCTCTGCCAGGAATCTACCCTCCATAATGCATCCTCTGCTCAGCAGCCAGAGGATCTACCCCAAATGCTTTCTTGCTCTAAATGCACCAGGACAAAGGTCTTACTCCATCCCATAAAGCCTGGCATGAGCCAATCCCAGCCCCCACTCCTCTCCCACTGAGCCTGTCATCACCCACCAACCAGACTCAATTGTCAGTTCACCTCTTGTTCACCTCCAGGTGACTACAGATGGGTTCTGCTAGAAACACTTCCCCCTTGGCCTTTGCCTGGCTGACTCCTATTCATCCCTCAAAACCCAACTCAGATGATGCTTCCTCAGGGCAGCCTTCCCTGACCACTTCTGCAGTGGGTTAGGAGCCCATCCTCTAGTCCCACAGCCTCTGTGCTCCCACTTTTGTATACTGTATATGAAATGTGGATTTGAAAGTGAAAGGTATACTTAGAGAGCCCTCTGGCTGCTGAGCTGAGGGTGGATTTTGGAGAGCAGTCTACTGGCAGAGAGATGGTCCCCTTCTGGAAGATGAAGTAAAAGGCTGCACGTTAGCTTGTATCTGGTGATCCCCTAACTTATGGGGTATATCTGAGTGGCATCACATCCAGAAGCAAAGGGCAGGGACCTAGAATCTTTTTTTTTTTTATTGTGGTAAAATAGTCATAACGTGAAATTTTTAAGTGTACAGTTCAGAGGTATTAAGTAAATTCATGTTGTGCAACCATCACCACCATCCATTTCCAGAACATTTTCGTCTTCCTAAATGGTAACTGCGTCTGTTAACTCCTATTTCCCTCTTCCCTGTGGTGGGCAGCCCGTGCCAACCACCATCTCCTTTCTGTCTACGAATCCAGCTGCTCCAGGAGCCTCATGTATGTGAAATCACCCAGTGTTTGCCTTTGTCTTACTGCATCCGCATGAAGTCCTCCTGGATCACACATTTTGTAGCATGTGTCAGAACTTCCTTTACAAGGCTGGATAACACTCCACTGCACGTATGTACCACTGTCATAGTTTGGGCTGCTATCACAAGGGGCCACTAACTGCGTGGCTGATAAACAACAGAAATGCATTGCTGAAGGCTCTGGAGACTGGAAGTCCCGATCAGGGTGCTGATAAGGCCGGGTGGGGCCCTCTTCTGGGTGGCAGACTCCTCGTTGTGCCCTCACTCGGCAGAGGGGGCAGGGAGCTCTCTGGAGTCTGTTACAAGGGCACTCATCCCATTCATGGGGGCTCCACCCTCGCGGCCTCATCGCCTCCCAAAGGCCCCGCCTGCCTCTGCCACACACAAACATTCAGACCACATTTTGCTTATCCATTCGCCCATCAGTGGACAGTTGGGCTGCTTCTGCCTTTCGGCCGCTGTGAATAAAGCTGCTGTGAACGTGGGTGTGCAAATACCTATTCGAGTTCCAGCTTTCACTTCTTTGGGGTAAATACCCAGATGTGGAATTGCGGGATGGCAATTCTGTGTTTTTAGTTTTTGAGGAACCTCTACCCTGTTTTCCACAGGGGCGACACCATCTTATAGTCCCACCAACGGTGCACAAGAGCTCTGATTTCTCCACACCCTCCTCCACACTTCCTGTGTGTGTGTGTTTATAGTAACCATCCTAATGGGTGGAGTAAAAATTAGAAGTAATTTTTACTCAAAAGCCATTGAACCTTTTTGCTTGCATCCCTCAAACGTCATGGACAGGATATGCAGACCCCATCTGTGAGCCTTTAAATCCGGGATTCCTCGGCCTCTGCTTCCACTTGCCCCGCCCACCCACTGCTCCTGTCCGGCTGCCCTGCCTCCCTTCTTTCTGAAGAGGAAGCTGCCCACGTTTCATCTGCCAGCTTGGTTTTGTCCTACTACCCCTGGGCTCAGGCGGCTGAGACTCCAGAGATGAAAGGCTCAGCATCCGCCCTCAGAGGAACAGCCTTTACACAACCAGCATTGCCCAGAGGCTCCACCCCCTCCTCTCCCACTTCTGCTCATTTATTCCTTTCCCTAAACCTCCACCAGCTGCCCTTCGGGTGCAAACACAACAGCAGGCAGCGAGGTGTTGTGGAAGAGGCTGGTTGATTTACGGACCTGAGCTTAAGCCTCTGCTGTGTAATCTCGGAGTTTTTGCTCCTCTTCCAACCAGCAAGCACATGGCGTCAGCTCGCTCGCTGACATGGATTATAGTCAGTGGGGAAGCAGAGAGTCGTTGGAACCAAATCTCTACCAATCACAGGTAAGCTTCCTAGCCTCTCTGAGCATCAGTTTCTTCTCTAAAATAGGGGTGCTGGTTCTCTACAGCTGCTGTAACAACACAAACAGGGGCATGAAACAACACAGATTTATTCTCTTACAGTTCTGGGGGTTGGAAGTCCCAAATAGGTCTCACTGGACTAACACCAGGGTAATGGCAGGGCTGCGGTCCCCCGGAGGGTTCTAAGGTGTCTTGCCAATGGGTTTCAGCCCCCAGCAAGTTCGCTGCGGATTCTGTGTAACCAAAGAAATGACAGTGGAACGTTTCTTTGGGGTAAAGGGGTTTATTACCCGGCTTGTTCTCCCAACGGTAGGTCGAGCGCTAGCATCTCAGCTTCCCCCCAGAGCACTGGGCCAGCACTCTGAATAGCACAATAACAGTTTATTGTCTAAAGGTGTGGAAGCGGTAGCCTAGCAACAGGCCATTCACATCATCAGGTGGTTTAAGTTCAGTGAGGATTCTGGCCATAGGAACCCCAACTTCCCCACATAAGGGCATCGGTTTTGTTTGCTTTATTTCGCTTCTGGAGGCTGCATTCGTCCTTCAGAGCCAACCAGTAGAGTCTTCAGAGCTGACAGCGCCCCTCTGGATTCTTCCCTCTCTTCACATTGAGTCCACCTGGATAATCCAGGTGCGTCCCTGTTTTAAGGGCAGCTAATGAGCAACTTTAATGCCACCTACTACCTTAATGCCCCTTGCCATGTAACAAAGTCACAGGTGCTAGGGACTAGGACATGGCCACCGTGGGGACCATTCTGCCTACACCGGCAGCATTCCCCTGTGGGGAGCAGGAGGAATAAATGAGGTAAGCCAAGCCACAGTGCACGCAGCATGGAGCAAGCGCATACACGTCAGCCTGTGCTGGTTTCTTGTTGGAATGTGGATAATTTCTCATGGTGAGGAGAGAAAAGCTGCATGATCACAAGCTCGGAGACTCAGTTTTCTCATCTGGGAAATGGGACCATCCCACTGACTGGGGGTTGTGCTGTTTCAGGGAGTTGAACTTGGTGCAGCACACAGCTGGTACTCAAAGGGCAGAGATTAGGATTTTGCTCCTATTAGTTGCCCAGCTGCAGAGGGACCTCAGTGAAGCCTCATCGCCCGGGTCTCCCCATGCTTGCTTCTCGCGTCAGCTTGCTCCCTGCCCAGGTGGGGCTCTGGTGTGGCTGGGGCTGTTGCCCACAGCTTGTGAGCCTGTGACCTTCGCATTTTTGCTTCGACCCTGTGCATACCTGGCGCCACTTGCCTGTGCTAAGAAATGGTTGTCAGATCTGGGTAAGGGCTCCCCAGCCCTCTCCAGCCACTCAGGCTTCATCCTCCCAGTCTAGCACCCCAGGAGGAGGATGCCCCTGTCCTGTAGCTTCTAGAGTCCCCAGGTGATGCTTATTGGCTGTGGGCTCCTGTCCCCTAACCGAGCCGATCACTGGGGGTGGCTGGGGACTGTGATACTATTTTGGGCTGGGCTTGGGTCACAGTGGGGCCTGAAGCCAAGCTGAGGAGGGGGTGCTACAGGCACCCTCTCCCTGCTACCTGCCTGGTCTCCCCTGAGATAAGGCCTCACGCAGCACTTCCTGATACCTGCACCCCGCCAGCCCCATGATCCCCTAACCCTTCCTTACTAATCATTGCATGTGTGTGAATCTGATTTCCCCAGTGAGGCTACAAGCCACTTCTTGGGGGGGCTGAAGAGTTCGACGGACTCCTAATTGATATACCCTTTTGCTGTTACCTTGGATGGCAAGTCACCTCCTTTGTTCCTCTGAGCCTCAGGTTCTTTATCTGCAAAATGGGCATATTAACTAGGCCCTGCCTCTTAGGATTGTTGCAAAGATTGAGCTAATGAACAGCAGTGACTAGCCCAGGGCCCCGTGCCGAGAAGGACTCATCTCCTACCTTGTTCCCTTCCGGAGTTTGCACCAAAGAGGCAGCATGGAATGGCACCCCTGGGCTCCGCGGCTCTGGAGCCTGGCACACAGATGTGGTCCTGCCCCTTCATCTGTCCCCGAGACCTACCAACTCCTGAGCCTCCACTTTCTGAGCGATAAATGGAGTTCACATGCCAGCCTGAGACAATGCCTGTCTAGAGCCTGGCACTGAGGGACCGCGAATGGCAACTCTGCTAATTTTATGGATGATAACAACCCCTCCGTTTCCAGTGTGATGGGAGCCAGGTAACAGAGACCTGAGTTCAGTGTTGCTGTTGTGTTGCCTCTCTGGGCCTCAGTTTCCCCATCTATTAGTGGGAGTCTCCCCTGTGAGGGGCGGGTGGCACACCTCCCTCTGAATCACAGAGCCGCCGTTCAGCCTTTATTAACAGAAGTCCGCTCTCCTACGCCACACTCAGAGTCTCTGTATCCCTTAAACATGACTCTTCATTAACAACAGACACCTTAACTTATCAGGGGTCATGTCACACAGGCAGCTGAGCAGGGCTGGCCAGATGGGCAGCACCAGGCTGTGTCTGAGGATGACAGATGCTCGGTGGAAAGTTCCAGAAACAGGAGTACTTACAAATGGCCTTTCAAGACAGGCCTAAATACCAAAGCTCCCTGGCTGGCTGACTGGATGAATTGAAAAATTCTGTCCTCAGGGCTTGGGAACTCAGAGCCAAGCCCCTAGCTGGTCAAGCGTGGACAGTGTTGTAAGCCACCACTGCAGTGTTTCTGTTTCAGTGTAGCTGGAAGACTCCTGGTTGCCTTCTCTTTCCCCAGTCCACCAACCCAGCTGTCCACAGAACCCGCCACTTGGAAAACTGGGACTTGGCAATGAGAAAAAAATATATACAAATGGCCGTGGGGCAGTGGCTAGGCAGACGCGAACCTGTGCTGCCCCTGCGCCGGCTGCCACTGGCTGCGGGAAACCGCTCTTCTTTCCGTCAGGAGTGCCTTAAGATCCAGTACAAAGAGACCCCCTGGGATCCCTTCCATTCCCATCCTGCTTTGCCTTAGAAAGCTCCAGAACCCCAAACTATGGCTCCTTGCCTTGCCTCTTAGGCGTACATGGGAAGAGATCTGAATCATGATTGAGCAGTTAGAAAATAACTGGTCTCAGATTTTTAACAATGTGTTTGATAGTATTGGAAGTGCTTGTTCTAAAAAGCAGCCCAAGTCTGCAGAGGGTGGAAGAGCCAGTGGAAGATGCAAGTCATTGATGATTTAGGTGTTAGGATTGCAAGGGTGTGGGGAGGGGCCTGGGAGTCTCAGTCCAGGGGCCACGGGCGGGGTTTGAACAGCTTGTGTGGATGGGCTCCAATAAATATAAATAAATGTACACAAGGTCACAGTGCCTGGCAGGGCCAGGGGATCTGCTCTGTGATGGTCTGACAGGCTACTGGAGAAGTGGGCCTGGAGGCCGCAGGGGGAACCCATTTCAGAGTTCAGCCTGTCTGTCAAAAGGTCTGCCAGCTGCTCCCAGCCTCAGGGCCTGTCCGCTGGAGGCTAAGGAGGAGGTTTCATCCCAGAAGAATAAATTAAAGGGCCTTCCAGCCGGGGTGTTTCCCCGGCACACCAGTGAGTCCCGAAGCAGACAGCAGGTCGCTGGGAGCACAGCTGGGAACCAGGCTGGAGATGGCGTGTCTCAGGTCTGGGAGGAGGGTCAGGGGGCTGGGGAGTCCAGGATGCCTGTCCACCCTCTGTCCTCCCGACTGGGGAGGCCTCAAGGCTCCCAGTGGAGGTGTGAGGGCCAGGGGCGCCGACGGGAACTGCTTGCCTGTAAGCCAGCAGCCCCACCGAAGTTTCAGAGGCCTGTGGGGACAGGAGGGGCCTTGCTTCTGGGAACACTTGGCTGGGTGGGCGCTCTGCCTGGGCCCCGGTTCCAGGGCAGGCAAGGCTCTTGGCTCAAAGCAGGGCTATGGGCTTGTTGCCCTGGGCACCTAGGTACTGAGAGGAGGAGGTGGCAACTGACGCGGGTACGCTATCTGGGGTCGAGTATGCAGTGTAGAGCCCTGTCACCTGCAAGTCTGGGAAGGACTGGTCACTGCTGCCAGGAATGGGGGTCAGGCCCGAGGCCCCGAGGTCACAGCCAAGTGGGGAGTCTCCGAAGGCCCCCAGCGTGTCCAGACTGAAGCCCTCCTCCTTCATCTCCTCCCAGAGGTTTCCTTTCAAAGACAAAAGCATTCGGGTGAGCTGGCTTCATGCCAAACAGGTGTGAGTTTGAATCCCATGTGTGGGGCTTAAGTCAGGTGTCGCACAAGGAGAGCAAGGGGCAGCCAGAGTTCTGGCCCTGGCCCCACCCTTCCCACTGGGTGTCCTTGGGGATGGTGTTGGCATCTCGGAGCCTCAGTGTCCTCGGGGAGAAATGCAGATGACCAGGGAAACCACCCAAGGCCTGAATGAGGGGAGGTGTGGAGAGCACTTGGCTCTCACTAAGTGGTGCCCTTATGGTCAAGGCAGGGGACAGACCAATGGTCTCCCTCTCCTCAGCACAGCCTAACTACACAAAAATCCTGGGGGAGAGGCAGGGAGGCTCTAACATACCTATTTCACAGCTCTAACTCCCTGACTAGCTAACTACCTAACCTGCTAACTCGTCCATTTCCCTCTCTAGACACAGAACTTGAGGATGGAGCAGGTCGTGGCCATTGGCTGGCACACAGTAGGTGCACCAGTGTTGCCGAATGGGTAAGTCATGGAACCTGAACTTCCCTTGTTCATTCGTTCATTCATTCATTCAGTTCCCACATATGGAGGATGACCATGTGGCAGGATGCAGGGCAGCATGTGGCCTGGCATGAGGTTGGCACATGCACGTTGTGGTTACTGAGTAAATGTTGGGGGTCAGACGGACCTGTTGAAATCCTGGCTCTGCCACCTACTAGCCAGCTGACTGTGGGCCAGTGACTGGACTTTGCCTCAGTTTCTCATCAGCAGAGTGGGGATGTGAAATGGCAGTGGCCTCATAGGACTGCTCCAGGGTGAGATGGGATGATGCCTGGTACACAGTAAGTGCTCATTCCATGCTTGCTGTGATTCCCCACTATTAGGTAGTTGGGAAGTGTTTGTGGAGGAATGAGCAGAGGGGTAGATGCAGACAGCCCTCCTCTCCGTCACCCTCCTCCGTCTCTCTGGTCCCCAACCCCCCCCGTCCCCCTTCTATTCCCATCACCCCATTCCTCCAGCCTCACCCTGCAGGGCAAAGTCTATGATGCTGGGGTCCAGGGCATCCACCTCGGTGTTCATGTCGGTGCTGATGTTGATGAAGTCCGCAGGCGCCCTTCCCATGGCGGGCTGGGGCAGGGGGCTGGGGCTCAGCTCCGGCAGGGTGTGCAGGGGTGGAGTCTGAGCCAGCGCAGGAGAGTCCGGGGCGAGATGTGCCTGGGGCTGGACCTGGTGGTGCAAGGGGACTGACTGCAGGGACAGGGTCATCAGTGGTTGGGGTGGGAGCTGGGAGACAGGTAGGCAGCCATGCACCATGGCCACAGTGGTTGCATGGGTCAACACGGGGACCTCAGGGCGTCGGCAGCTCTCCGGTCGGTCTGAGATCAGCTTGTCCAGCTCCTCTGCAGGCAAGTGGGAGAGGTCACTCAGAGCCACCCTGCAGTTCCCAGGCCCCAATGTCACCACCTGTGTGGCCATGGCAAGCCTCTTGGACTCTGAACGTCAGTCTTTTCATCTAAGGATGGCATCATACACTCTGCACAGAGTTGTAGAAATGTAAAGAAATCACACATTGTATAGGGTCTTTGGGAAATCAGAGGAGCCTCAGATGATAACAACAGCTCCTCTCATCGGGACAGTGCCCACAGGACAGTACTATCACTCTGGGGCTTCACTTGAACTTCCTAACAGCCTTGTGAGGGGAGGCAAGGCAGTGACTACAAATCCCAGGAGACTGGGGCAAAGCTTATTAACAGGCAAGCAGTCCTAGTCACTTCCTGCCGCTGAAGACACATTAAGTGTGGCTGTGGGCTGAGAAATGGAGCCTCCTTCATGCTCCTGGATATAAACCAGACTGAAATGACTCTGAAAGTATTTCTGTTGTTGGCTGTGTCTCATTGAATGTAACACCAGTTTGAGACGGGACCATTAAGGTTCCAGGATCAATTTGGGTTGGACCCATTTAAAAAATGAGGACACTTGAAATCGAGACGGTGAAACGGCCTGCCCCAGACGTCACAGCAAGTCTGTGTCAGGGCGAGCCCTGCGCCTTGGACCGGACCCGGAGCTCCGCAGGGCGATGCTCGGCGGTGCTCCCTGGGCTCTTGGGTCCTGCTCGGCTCTTTCCTCTCTCTCTGGGATTCTCATCTCTGACCGGTACTCCTATCCCCTTTCCTACCCAAATCCATAGGCCCAGGCCAGATATTCCTAAGGCTGGGTGAAATTTGCCTCCTTTCACACATTCTCCATTCATATATCACTTGTCTGTTCCTTTCACATCTCTTAATTTTAAAAAAAGCAGATGCAGTATATTTGCCTACCATTAAAGTAATTCATGAATGGGGTGTAAAATTTGGAAAATATAGAAATGTGCAGAATATAAAATTATCAGCAGTCTCTCCATTCACAGGAAAGATATTTCTTCTAGTCTCTGTACACATGTGTGTATATACACATATATACATATATACATAAATGGGTGTGGATATATGTATATCTATATATACATGTGTGTGTATGTATGTATTATATGTGTATACACACATGTACATGAATGGAATGGACATCCAGGCATTTTTAAATGTCATGCTGTGTATATTATTACCTCCTTTTCACTTATTGGGAGCATTTTTTTATATTCCAAAAATATTTTTATTCTAATACTTGCATAGTATGACGTATCTATCTAACTAATGCCCTATTGCGGGATGTCTAGATTGCTCTCAGTTTTTCACTATTAGAAATAATTTTGTGATGGGTAACTTTATTCATAAACCTCTTGCTCAAATTCTTTGATTTCCTCAGCATACATTGCCTGAAATAGAATAACCGAACCCACGAATTGGTACAGTTTGCAGGGTTTTGATATATGACTTTGCCCAGGAAAAGTTTAACTTACATTCCTGCCCGTCACACCTCAAGGTACCTGTTTCTCCACATCCTAGCCCACACTGGGTATTATTATTATTTTTTTAATTTTAAAAATCTGTGCCAACATGGTGATAGGAAAGTAAGAAAGCAATGTTATCCCACAGTTGTTCAGTTCAGCATTTTTGTGTGAGAAACTAGGGGTTGCTCAGTGAGATCCAACAGCTCTTCATGTTTCTGATCAGGCCTCAACTTCCCAGCCACTGGGTAGGGCATGCAGTGGGGGAGGGAAGCTCCCTAGGCATCCGTGTCCCCCGCCAGTGTGGCTGAGACTTGCAGCTGGCTGGGGGGATGCAGGCGGAGCAGGGCTGCACGGGGGGCGGCGCAGCGGGGAGCACCTGGCCTCACCGGGGTTGGCCATGCTCCTGCGGATGGCGGCCAGGTCCTTTCTCTTCCACTTGTGCATCTCCTCCTCCATCTTGTCGATGCGGGCCAGGTTCAGCGCCCACAGGCAGCCCTTGCGCGAGGAGCCACTCATCTTGTTCTCCACCTTCTCGAAGCACTTGTTCAGGGACAGGTTGTGCCGTACTGAGTTCTTCCAGCCGTCAGGGGCCGTCTGTGCGGGGGAAACGAGCATTCAGAGGACCCCTTCCCTTCAGAGAGCTCCCTTAACCCTTTGTCTCCAGGGGGATCTCAAACTCAGGCCTAGAGGGACAGGGAACAACAGTGGCAGTGGTAGAATGAGTATCCAACACTCAACCTTGAGTTGGGAAGACAAAAGAGAGTGGTGGGGACTGTGGCAAACTGGAGGGCCATGCCCTGATTAAAGGGGCAGCTGCACATCAGCTCCAGCCAATGGTTACTACATGGAGCAATACCCAGGGTGGCCAGATCTTCCTCTCTTTCTCTCCCACTCAGGAAGCAAGCAAGATGATGCTAATACATGCATAACTGGCGGAGTGTATTAAATGCAAATCATCTTCAAATACTTACAATGCACCATATACCCTATTCATTTCCACTTTCCCTCACTCCCCCCACCACCTTTCTATTACACACACACACACACTCTCTCTCTCTCTCTCTCTCTCTCTCTCTCTCTCTCTCTGCTATAATATTTCTGCTAAGGATACTGTCCAGACCGGGGACTCCAAGTCTGTTACCCTCTGATCAGTTGCTCCTTTGTGTGCTTTGATGCCAACAGGGAAGATATTACTAATGGCCAACCATGTGCCAGGAGCTACGAGGCTATGAGGCCCTTTACATTCAGAATCCTCACTAACTTTGCCAGGTGGGTATTATTCTCCCCATCTTACAGATGAGGAAACTGAGGCGCAGAGAGCAAAGGCTGTCGTCAGGTCTGTGTTTTGCATCATTAGGTTTTACTAGGTTGCCCCTCTACCCTTTGCCCCTTGGGATGCCTGATGAGCTCCTCTTCCTCCATCAGAGCCCAGCTCAAGTGTCCCCTTCCCTTCCTGGATTTCTTTGCCCATGTCTGTGTGAGTGTACACAGACAGGCACCTATGGACATAACAGGGGGCCTAAAGGGTGGCTCAGTTTGGCCTGGGACCAGTCCTGGGTTCTGGCAATGCCACGGGAGGCCAGAGAAGCTCCAGCCCCCCCCACCCTGGGCTGGGACCCTTCACCTTAAAGTAGGGGAAGTGCTCCTTCATGAAGCTGTAGATCTCGCTCACCGGCAGGCTGCCTGTCTTGCTGTTCTTCAGGGCCATGGCAATCAGACAGCTGGGGGCAAAAAGTGGGGCAGGCCGTGTGTGAAGGCATATTAGGCTAACAGTCCAAGGTCCCATCCACCAGGAAGGCTGCCCTTCTTGACCCCACTGGTACCAGCCCTGATAGTTTTAGCTCTCGATATCTCCTCATGGCCCTGCGTCTTTCCTATCCCCTGCCCTTCCCCTTTGACCCTGTGCTCAGCCATTGGTACTGATTTGAGACACCTTGTCTTTCTCTTTATCCTTTCCCCATAAATTAATTTCTATGAGCCTGTAAACTTTAGGCTGCTTCCCCCTTCCCCAAGCCCCTGTGAGGTACCCAATACTGTTATGTTGATGACCTTTTGCATCAGAGGGAACTGAGGCTCAGAGAGGTTAAGCCACTCCCCAAGGCCGCACAGCTTATGAATGATGGAGTGGAGCACTGAGCTCTGTGTCTGGGAGTTGACTGAGCACATGATGGCCCTTCTGAGAGTGGGGCCCACCTGAGTTCCCACCTTCCAAAACCTCCTGTTGGAAGTCTGGGCCTCCACACCAGGCTGCCCCCACAACCTCCACCTGAAGGCACCTTCCCACTTCTCCCCCAGGCCCCCAGGCCACAACCCACCCTGCACCTCACCTGTATGAGTAGATGGGCTTGGGGTAGTGTTTCGGGTGCAGCTCCTGAGATGAATGCATGGCCACGCGGGGCTGGGGGTAGAGAGGCCGTGCCCCAAATGGGGAGCCATAGAGGCCCACAGAAGGGCACTTCCACAGGCAGGGGCAGTGCGACGCAGAGAAGGGCAGAAAGAGCAACACTCACCCACTGTAGCCCACCCCACCCACCCCAGTCTGCTTTTGAAGCGAGGGGAAGTTTACAGCCCATGGAGACAATCTTATCTCTGCCCAGTGCATAGTTTTGGGGGAACTAAATGAACAACCCCACCACATAACATGGGCATGGTGGAGAATGTTACCCCCATGTTCCAGATGGGTAAACTGAGGCTCACAAAGTTTCCCTAGCCAGCCCACACCAGGGGCATGTGCCTCTGAGTCCACGCCCTCACCCCACAGCCGCAGTACCTGCTGGGTGCCTGCGGGGAGTGGGAACTGTGGTTGGGAGGTGGGGGAGTACAGCTGTGGCAGGTCCTGCAGGCCAGATGAGGGCTGGGCCCCCACAGGGAGCTGGTTCATCTGCTGGGGCCGGGAGAGGGCGAGACAGAGGTCAGGATGGCGGTGGGGCACCCCAGTCCTGGAGGACACCCACCCCTGCTCCCCGGCCCATGTGGAGGCGCTTACACTGGCTCCGTGGCTGGCCATGGGGCCCAGGCCCAGCACGCCTGGGGAGGCTGTGCCAGCCAGGCCATGGAGCAGTGGACCTGGGGTGGCTCCCATATGCAGGTCAGCTGTCCTGGTTAAGGCACCTGCAGGAGTGAAGCAGAGAAATGCCGCTGGGCTGGAGGCATGGTGGCTGCAGACAAGGACATCTCAGTCCCTGGGACCCCCAGAGCAGGAGACCTCTCCTACCCTTGGGACCAGATGCTTAGTAGGTGCTCGGAAAATCTCTTCCCTGGGTGTAGTGTTGAAGTGGGTTCCTACCAGCTGTGTAACCTTGGGTCAGCCTCAGTTTCTCCATCTGTAGAATGGAGCTACTGAGGTTACCAACCTATACAGTTGTTGTGAGGCTTAAATGAGATAATGTCTATAATCTGATTAGCACATTGCTGAGCATGTGATAATATCTCAATAAATATGAGTCCATAATAGTAACAGTGATAAAGATATAGTTAATACATTGGTTTCTTGCCCTTCATGTAACTAAAACATCAATTTATTGTTCATCTCTCCTCAAAAACATGCCTTGGTTCCCCCCACTGCCTCTAGGTTTAGACCCAAATGCCTTTGTACCTTCCTTCCCCTTTGCCAAGCTCTGCTCTCCTGCCAAGGATTAGCTCAGGAATAACAGAAATACATACATACATACCCCCAATCCCATGCTGGGCCTGTGACAGACATTGCTAATCTATCCCATATTCTCCCTGCACCAGCCTGATTTTAGGCAGTCACCTCCAATCAAAAAAGTTGACCCGCAACATGATCCTGCCCTGGGGTCATCTCTTCCAGGAAGCCTTCTGGGTCCCTGCCCCAGCTTGCCTCGAGTTCTGGCTGCTACCTGGGCTCATCCTTTGTGCCTTTGGTCTGTCTGCTTTATCCTCTTTGACCAGACCCAGACCCTCAGCTGCCTGAGAGCCAAAACCACATCTTACATGACTCAGGGGTGCAAACGCCTGGCAGAGTGACAGTAACACGTGTGGGGCAACACAGTAGAGAAGGCAACAGGTCAGAGAGGAAGGTACTTCCCTCAGGTCACACAGCTGTCCTCTGGAGGTTCTAGATCTGGGTTTGGCAAACTATGGCTAGCAGGCAAAATCCAGCCCACAGCACGTTTTTGTAAATAAAGCTTTATTAACGCACAACTGCACCCACCTGCAGGCTGTTTATGACTGGTTTTGTATGGCAACGACAGAGTCCAATAGTTTCAGCCAAGACTGGATAGCCTATACAATCTAAAATACATACTACCCGGTCCTTTACAGAAGAAGTTTGCTGACTGCCGCTATAGATGTTTTAGCCAAGAACAATTTGCTCAATGAAAGAAATTCTCCTAGACAATAACTTTTCAACTACTGGTACTTCTCACATATTGTGACGATTGTATTTGTTGATTGTTTTTCTTCAGTGCTTTCTGTGTCTCTCAGCATTTAATCCACTTGCTATGACTGTAACTAGCGACTATTATGGAGCCCCTGCTGTGTGCCAGGCCCTGTGCTCCGCACTGTCCATGTATTGCCTCTTTGCAGACAGACCTGGCATCAGTAAACAAATATTTTGTTTATAAATAAGGGCCAGAGAGCAAATAGTTTAAGCTTTGCCAGCCATATGGTTCTGCCTTCTCTGTTTTGGTACAACTGTTGGAAAGTGTAAAAAACAGGTTTTTTTTGTAAAAACCATTCTTAAGATAAAGGCTGCATAGAAGTGGGCTGCAGGCTGTTTGGCCCGCAGGCCACAGTTTGCCAACTGCTCTAGGTGTTCAAGGTGTACCAGGGTGGGGGCAGGTCTGTCTTTATTCTCCACTGAATCTTTGGCTCACATAGAGTCTGGCACGCAGTGGTGAGCCAGGAAGTGAACCTCCTGTCTCCGAGAAAGCACAATTAGTCACATTTTACAGATGCAGAAACAGAGGGAGAGAGAGCCCTTGGCACAGACACACAGTGGGTAGGTGGCAGGGGGTGTTGCCCCTCCCGTGTCACCCCCCACACAGCCCCCTCTTGCCCCCAAACCTACCTGGGTGTGGGTGTGGCGTACTGTGGCCGCCCAGGTCCGCACGGCCACTGGCCATGTGCTGTAGCCGCGGCACATCCACGGCCGTGAGCCACGACAGCGACTGCAGGTCCCCAGGAAAGTCATCATCACCAGTAGTGGCCAGGAGTCTGCAGGGAGGGGCAGGAGCTCAGGCGGGGCGGGGAGCTCTGGCCAGTTCCTGGGGGGGGTCCCCAGCTCTGGAATCACCCCTGACCCCTCCCCTCTGTAAGCTGCCCCAATCTGCCCAGGGCTGGGCCTGGGAACCCAAGCCCCAGGACGCCTTCCTTGGTAGCCAGAACACACATCTCCAAACCATTCCTTCACCTACTTACTTATTTAACACATCTTAGCCCCTTCCTGAAAACAATGAACATTAATGCTTGTTGCACACTTACTATGTGCCATGCACCATATCAAGACTGTCACAGGTATGAACCCATTTCATGCTCCAGGAGGCAGTTTCCCATTTTACAGATGGGGCAACTGAGGCAGTGGGCACCATGGGCAATAGGCAGTCCCATTCAATCTCCAGAGTAGCCCTGAGAGGTGGGATATACCCACATCCCCTTTCACAGATAGGAAAACTGAGGCTCAGAGCACTGAGTCACTTGCCCAAGGTCACACAGAACAGGAAGTGGTGGGGCTGGAACCCAGGCAGCCTGAAGCCCAAGGCAGCCCCCGGAGGCTCCAGCTGGCACCCAGGCCCACCACCCTCACCAGGTGCATGAGCAAAAGCATCACTTCCCAGGGAAGGGAAAAGGCTGCCAAGGATGCCAGGCAGGGGCCCCGATTGGGAGTGATGATTCCCCAGTGCCCTGAGGTCGTGCCTGCCACACGGCTCCCAGGGTTCTGGGCCCCACAGTGGCATCTGGCCCATGTTTTAATGTGTCTGTAAACAGGCTGGGAGCCCAGGCCAGCTCCCCCAACACCTGCCAGCCCCGCAGGCCCAGAGAGCTCATGTTTGTTGTCCACAAGCCCAGGACCCAAAGTCTACGGGGCAGGTTTCAGAAACAGGTGTCTCGGGCTTCTTGGAAAGGAGGACAGAGAGAGAACAAATGCAGTCTCTGGTTTCCGGGTGCAAATGGCAGTGGTCCCCAGTGGGACACTAGCCTGTCCCCGGCCCCCTGGGAGGCTGTCTCAAGCTGGCGCTCGCTCTCCCGTCTCGCTGTCTCTCTCTCTGTCTCTTCCCCTCCTTCTCATCTCTCCTGCTCTCTTTCCTTGTGTTTTAGGGCCACAATTAGTGTTGCCATGGCCACTGTTGCTCAGTTGTCGAGGGGCCTGGGCCCTCAGCCCACCGAGCTGGCATCAGGTGACTGCCCGGCTGCCTCGGCGATTGGCTGCCTCGAAGGAAAACAGGGCCTGGGAATGATTTGAAAACTCGGCAGGCCCATGTCAGCAGCAGCAGTTGGCCTGGCTGCCGTTCCCTGGCGGCCCATTGTGTGACAAACGACTGTTGCCCTCATGGCACGTGGCCCCCATTGTTCTGGGGTCTCCATGCAATTGTTTTTGCAGCCCCCTGGCTGCCGCCCTTCCAGCCCGCTCGTAACTCATCTGGCCTAGTGACAGCCACGGCCCAGGCCTAAGCGATGCCATCTGTCCCCTTGGCCCCATGGAGACCATGGGGTGAGGCAAGGGGAGGTCCTGGTGTGCTGCCTGCTGTCAGGGTGCCTGGCCAGCCCCCACCCATGGCCGCAGACCTCCCAGTGTCTGGGGGTGTGAGCTCCGCTCCTGCTCACTCACCTGCTGTGGCTCCCCATGGCCCTGCCGCTCTGCCTGGTGCTGGGGAGGTAGGGAGCAATGGAGGTGAGCCCTGCGGCAGTTTTCTCAGGGCAGGGGACCCAGCAGAGGCCCCTGAATGACAGTGGGAGGCTTAAAAACAAATGAGGTTCCTGGGTGCCTCTGTCGAGCAGAGTCCCTGACAGTGGGCAAATCTGATAGGTGCACCATGAAGATTAAGAGCGTGAGCTCGGGGTTCTAATCCTAGTCTCCATTTACCTGTGTGCCTCGGGCCCTGATTTAACTTCTCTGAGCCTTTGTTTTTTATCTGTGAAATGAGAATGATAACAGTTCCTGTCTCTTAGGGTATTGTGAAAATTAAGTGTCATTTCACGTCTTGGAACAGTGTCTCAGTTGTCATTACTAATATCTATATTAATTTACAGATAATAGTAGCCCAGTCCCCAGAGGATGGAAGTACACTGAAACTTTGGGCTCTGGGGTCACACAGACCTGCCCCTGCTATTGCAACCACGAGTGGCTTCCACTTACTGAGCACTTCTTGTATGCCCGACCCTGGGCTACAGGCTGCCCCCATTTTACAGAGAAACAGACTGTCTCCCATTGAGTGGAGGAGCACACAGTGTGACCATGAGCCGAGCACCTGGTAGGGCCGAGTGAATGGTGCCATCCCAGTCGCTCTTTCTCCCCTGCTGTCTGTGAGCTCAGCTGGCTCCTCGTCCCTTGGGCCCCACGCAGGAAGGAGCAGCAGCCACTGCAGCCACCTGGCGTGCTTCCTGTCCCTGGCGCCCGGGAGCGGGCTCACCCCCAGGCCTTTGCACCAGCCGCTCCCCGTGCCTGGGGTGCTCCTCCCGCACCCCCACACACACCATGCCCATCCCTAGAGGCTCGGCTCACTTCGAATTCTGTCTTCTGGCCTCTCACTGCCAAAGTCCCTTCAGACCCCACCTGACCACACCCCTCCTTTTACCCCTGCGGAACCGGAGGCCAAGATGAGGGAGGCCATCTGCACCCAACTCATGGTCCAGAAAAGGGCCAGAGCTGGGGCTCTGGCTCCTCAGGCGTGGACCCCCAGGAGTGGCCGTCCCTCCGGGAAGTCTCTGTCACCCAGGCCCCAAGCCAGGCCCTGTGAGTCCTACACTGCCATCTCTGCCCACACACAGTGGGGCTACATAAAACCTGCTCAGCTGGTTGAAACATGCTGACCCCAGGCTATTAACCCAGCGAATGGTGTGACAATGGCTGTCACGTCCAGTACTTTTAGTGCTCACAGAGCTGTCCTCTGCCCCCTCAAGTCCTTTGATAACCTTAGGACAGGGATGGGGACAGGGACAGGGAACAGGCGGCTCCACTTTACAGATGGGGAAACTGAGGCCAGACAAGTGAAAGCAAAGGTGTGACCAGGACCTGAAGCTGGGTCGTCTGCTCTGATCTCGGGTTGTTCCTGTGGCACCACAGGCAGAGAATCAGATGTCCTCTGGGGCAGGTGTCCCACCCTCAGTCCAGGTCTCTCAGCCAGGGACCTATGTGAACCAGCATCACCCAGGAGCTGGTGCAGAGTCAGAGTCCAAGGCCCAGCCCAGACCCTGGGGTCCTACCCGCAGGAAGCTGTATTGTAGCACGTCCCAGCCAAGTGCAGCCCTGAGGGGGTGTGGCAAGGGCTTGGGCACAGCTCAAGCTTCGATTGGACACATCGGGGTTCAAGTCCTTGTGACCCCTCTGGCTGTGTGACCTTGGATAAACCACTTCAGGTCCCTGAGGGTCTCCCAGTATTTTCTCATCTGGAAAATGGGACATCAGTGTATGTCCCTGGGTGGTTGTGAGGATCAAATGAGCCAAAGCGTATTTCACTTCTAACACGAGCCTGTCCCCCATTCTCCCTTCTTGGGGGTTCGCTGTTCATTCGTGGGGGTCCATGACCAAGCCCTGCTCTCCTGGCTGCCTCAGGCACCCCAGAGATGGGCTGGCCTCCCTCCCACCCCAGGCCTGCTTCAGGGGGCTTGACGCGTGGCCCTGGCCCCCCTGCTGCTCTCCTGCCACGGACGTGGACACCCCGAGCTGGGAGTCCACTGGCCCCGCAGCCTGGCTGGCTTCCTGTTGTCTTGTAGGGTCATGTGGTGCTCAGGATAGCACTTCACGGGGCAGGAAGCAGGGCTGATGTGCCGGGCCTACATGAGAGTGTCCCACTGCCGCTGGCTGGCCTGGCTCCTCGGCCATCCCTGTTCCCTTCTCCTCCCCTGTCTTCTGTCCCCACAAAGAAGCACATGAGCACAGCCATTCCCCCGGTGGCATGTGCAGGCACCCCAAGGCTCTCCCTCACCAGTGCCTGGAGCTCCCTCACTAAATATGCCCCCAAGTGTCCGCTTCTTGCCGTCTCCTAGTGCTTTACTTCAAATGGCATAAACCACAGGGTCCCTGACCTATGGCACAAGCAAGACGTCTTGGTTCAGGAAACACTCTGGCTTCCCAGCCAGAGGCCCTGTTAAGGGCAATGAATCTCCAGCCTCAGTTTTCTCACCTGTAAAATGGGCACAAATAATAATAGCACTCCCGTGTACCCCCCAGGACTGGCAGGGGGTGTGGAGTTGAAGGGGCTCGGTGAGCTCCCATTTCAGTCTCCTGAGGGGGTTTTCCTCTGCTGGAAAATGACAGGACATTTTGTGATTCAAAGGAAAAGGCAAACCCGGCCCCACTGCCCTGGGGTCTCCCAGGATGTGTCCTGCCCCCTGGCTCTGGCTCTGGTGAGGAGGAAGTGAGCCCCTCCTAACCCGGAGTCCCCACGTCACTGACGCCTGCCCCCCAGAGTCACCTCCAGGGCTGGCTGCAAGAAGGAGACTTCAGAGAGCCCTCTGTGTCCGCCTGCCGTGCCCACTCTCTCCTCCAGCCCTCGTGCCACCCCACCCCTCTGTTCTGACTCCCCCACCCTCTCCTTTTCTGTGCCTCCTTCTGCCTGTATCTCTGTGCTTCTCTCTGGGAATGAGACTCGCTCTCTCTGTCACTGTGACGGGGGGCCCTGTGATAAAGTCCTGGCCCCACTCCTCCTGCCCGGTGGCATCAGATGTGCTTCCAAAGAAGAAAAAAACCTTCCTGAGCCTCAGCTGACTCATCTGCAGCAGGGAGTCGTGGTGTCAAGGCAGAGCACCCATGGGAGGCTCCCAGCAAACATCCATCATCTCCTCTGCCCCTTGCTCTCTGACATGTGCCTAAGGTTCCCTGGTCCTGCAGAACCACCACATTCCACACACCCATCGATCCCGTGTACCCACCATCAGGGCCACCCAGAGCCGCCAGGTCAGGTCTCCTGGCGATGAGGCCAGCACCCGCAGTCAGCACCCTCCTGCCCCCACGCGCCTCGCGTGCCCAGGGCTGGGAAGCCGTGGCCCCAGCCCCG